GGAGCTCATGGGCTGCAAATGGAGTTTGCAGCCCCATTGGGAGTTGCTCTAAGGACTAGGCCGCGCAACAGGCGAGAAATTCTCGTGTTATTTGTTGATCACAGATGCGTTCATGATTTATGACATTTATACATAAAACCTATGTATATCCTCTTAACAGTAGTGATAACATAAATCCTAAAAAACAAATAAGCAAACATGACTACACCATACAACACGACCAAGACTATATAACCCACGTGCGATATGTCCTTCAACGTGCAAAACCCCTCACCATTGCATTCGGCCCAAAGCGCCGACACACGCGCGAGACGAAGCCCACCTCCCGCCCTCCAAAATCATACACAACTCAACCTGCTGCTGAAAGTTGCACAACGTACCCGCGCCCCGCCGCCCTCCTCGTCAAATCCCACGTTCCATCACCTTCAAGAACCCCACCTCTTCCCCCTTTGCTCTCGAACCATGAAGTAATTCCTCTCGCAACAAATCGTAGATTTGCCTTCAATTGCAGGCTCCAGAGCCGGCACGCCCTCGGGATGGCGCCGGCCGCAGTGTACGTAGATAGCCAGGCACCAAGCCGGTCTCGCACCTCCGCCGCGACGGATCTGTTGTAAGCCGGCCCGGCCATCTTGGCGGCGGAATTCGTCGGTGATGCTTCCGTGTAGCGCCGGCGAGCGCATTTCGTAAACGTGTGCGCGAGTGACACCAGCCCCGTTGCGTCCGCGTCACCCCGACCAATCTCGGCTCGTCAGTGGGGATCTGGTGCGGGGCCCACGGAACGGGGCTAGGAGACGGAGGTAGAAGGTAGGGGTTTTGGGCGTTGAGAGGAGCATGGGAGTGCTAGGTGCAACGGGCCACGCCCCCAATGCTGCATTGGGCCGGCCGGTTTGGACCGGCGAGACAGCGGGCTGCGGCTTCATGAGTTTGTCCTCGTTAAAGATGGACAGCAGCGTAGTGAGAGCGAGAAGCCGGAGAGAGTGAGAGCTGAGGAAGGAGGAGGGATCCGCTCCCGAAGCCGCGACGCCGCACGGGCCCGCCAACGCGTCGTGAGCGCCAGAGCAGAAGGTTGAAGTTGGACAGTGGAGGAGGCTCAGCGACAGAGGGCCACCGGCGTAGCTGGCGGATCAAAAGCTCGATGCCGTAGGACGTAGGTTAGAGACTGGGGCACCATGTAGCGCAGCATCGGCGGCAGAGAGGAGGTCTCGATGCTTGCCTGCGAGGGGGCACCGGCAGGAGCCAGACGGTCGGAGGATGAGGCTCCGGATGTGCGCGCGGCGGGCAGGCGGGTGCTTGCCAGGGACGGGGGGCGAGGACAGTCTTGAGGGGCAGGCGGCGAGCGGGAGGGGAGGCAGGAGGGGATTTGCCTTCGCAGAGGGATGCCACCTGAAGGGGGAAGCAAGGAGGAAACCATACGAGGTCGCTGCCGCGGTGTCTGAAGAGGTGATGGGGTCGACCGAGGGCCCACGGAGAAGGGAGAGTGGTATCGCTGCCGGACACGATGGGGGACGAGACCGCTGTCGGTGGTGCCCAGATGGGATCCGCTGCCGGTGGCGGCGTGGGAAGCGGGACGGTAGGAGGGGTTGGTGTGATTGTGTGAGGCGGTGACGCGGTCTGGGAGTGGGCGACGCCCCCACATGGGTGGCGGGAAAAGGAGAGAGGCGCGGCCGCTGCCAGAGAGAGGGAAGGCACGTGGGTGAGGGGGTTGCACGTGTGAAGGGACATATTGTGCACGTGGGTATATAGGGTCTGGTTCGTGTTTGTTTATTGGTGTACATGTTTGTTTGTTTGTTTGTTTAGGATGTATGTATGCACTACTGTTAAGAGTGTATATACATAGGTTTTATGTATAAATGTCATAAATGAATGAACGCATCTGTGATTCCAAAAATTAACACGAGAACTTTCTCGGCCTGTTTGGCGCGGGCCTAGTTCTTTTAGAGCAACTCCAATGGGGCTGCAAAACTCCATTTTGCAGCCCCATGGAGCTCCAACCGGACTCCAA